TATCAGATTAAAGTTAGCAAGTAGCAAAAGAAAAAATTTGGCACACTTTTTCATCCTCTCTGCTCTCATTTCTGAACCTCTCGGCCTGACATGGTGCTGTAGAAGTAGTCTTTAAACTTGTGAAATAATCTATATTTGGAAGACTTTTTGTTAATTTAAGCGGGTGTGTTGGAGAGAAACTCTCTCTGACGTGAACTTTGGGATGTTAGCCTTTGCAGACCATTTACATGCACAGAAAACCTATATAACACACAACAGGAAAAGGAACAAGCATAATAGGGCGCCTTTAAGGTGTCAGGTCAACGAAAATGACATCAAGTACTCTATTCCTCTTTGCATTTATACATTTTTTGAGTTCCCATTTACTTTGGCTATTTCCTTCACTCATTTTCACATCCTCTGTTTCTCTTTCTCATCCCCCAGCCTGCCGCTCTGCTGCTGCCTGCTTTGACAGCTCAGATCTAGATGGATTACTGTAAGCCAATAAATCTGTCGGAGTCTGTGCCCCAGTGGTGACAGCCTGACGACCCCTGCTTGTGTGCCTCTACCCGTGTACGAAGGCATGCCCAAGTTTCCACATGCTCCCTGAACATGGTGTCAAAGTCAAAATCCCTGTGAAGCAGCCAAACATATCATGGCATATGGCTGGGGGACTGTGTGCCCTTAACCTGCATCTGATCCAGTGATAGGCTGAGATCCCACAAATCACATTCAGCCTGTCCACATGTAGAGTAAGTACACCACATGTACACTACATGTCAACCCCATACGATGAGCAGGTAGATATGCAGAGCCTTGTATACCTGTCATTCAAAATATAAACACAAGCAGTATTAGAGTAGGTCAGTGCATTGTCACTGGTAGACTATTCAAAGATGTTTTGTTTGTCACGATGACAAGCTTCAGTTTAAGTTTGAGTCCAGTGTTCATGTGATAGAAACCTGACCTCACTAAGGGTCAACGTGTTTAAATCCTTGCTACACAGTAAAGCCCCTTTTCAACTCTACGATCCTAAACACATAACCACATAATGACACCAAATAATGCTTCCGTATCAAGCTGACACTAATAACATAGGACACAATTACATTTGTAGAATAAAAATACAACACTAATAATTTATCCGTGTATTGTCAGTTGTTGGTCTAAATCACAACAGATAACAAAAAAGTTAATACTTTAAATGCTCTGGATGTTAATCCAAACTGACTGACTAGTTTGCACGTTAAAAACCCTGCTGAAAAAACCAGCATAGACCAGCTTAAGATGGATGCTGGGCTATGCTGGTTTTAGCTGGTAGTTAAGCTGGTCTATGCTGGTGAAGCTGGTATTTATGCTGGTCTACCAGCAGTCTTACTGGCGAAACTGAAACAGACACAGACAGACAGAGAGGGCGGGACACAGGGGAACGGCGAGACGGCAGTGGTTGAAACAAAGCGGTATAAAACATGGTTTTGACTGGCACTAACGCAGCGTCCACACGGCGGCGTGCGTTGAAGCTTGCCGGTGGGCGTGTCTGAAACTCGACCAACAACCAATCACATGAATCTCCCGCTCCGGACACACAAGCACGCGGTTTGATTGGCTAGAGCTTGTACTGGCATATGATTTGATTGGCTGACGCTTCCGTCGAAGCTTCAAAATGTGAACTTTTCTCAACTTTTGAAGCGAGCAACGCGAGCAAAGCGAAGCGACGGAACCACAATGCAGTTCGGCAAAGCGTGACGTCACCCCCATTCAAAGTGAATGGGAAGAAGCGCTGAAGCTTCAACGCACGCCGCCGTGTGGACGGGCCGTAACAGTGTACGTTAATTTAGCAACTTAATGCTTTCCTGCTGTTGAATAAACCCTATATTGCTATTGATTTTATTAAAACTATGATTTGCAATCTTTTTGATTCCAATTACAATAATCTTTTTGTTATAATTGTAAAACACATCTTAACATCCATCAGCAATCAATAAAACAAATCATCCAACACAAAATAGAAGACATCTGGACCTATTCTATTTCTTGTTATACAACAGCATCTATTGGGACTGCTCATTGATGTCATCAAGAGCCATTTGTAGTCAGCCTCTCAGAATGTTTATCATTTCTTTGTCTCTTAACATTCCTATAATCATTTGTTTTTTTATTGTTGGTATTGTTTTGTTTTTTATTTTTGTTGTGAGAATCACTTTGCAATTGTGTAAGTGCTATATAAATAGTTATACTAATATTATTGTTGTTACCATCATTACTATTATTAATAATGTTTTCTTTGTTTTCTTTATTCATCGCTGCAGAAAGGATCATGCCAGCCCACATCAAACACCTGATCAAGAACTTGTGAATCTTCAGGCAGAAAAGATGAAAACACCTGTTCAAAGTTCCAGTTCCCTGTACATGGAACCATGCCTGTCTGGGACTCTGTTCCACATGTCTTCAGTCAGTTCTGGACCCCATGACTCGGACACTAGTTCTACCAAGGCTTATTAGAGGTAAGAGTGGTAGGAGAGGAGTGGAGTTATCTTTGTATTTAGGCTGCAAGTCGACACAGGTGATCAAATGCTGATGCTAATAATGATCCGATTCATTTGATATTGATTGTCTGCCAATATCGAATCCTGATCCGATTCTTCTATTTCCCAGATAATACAGCTTCACCGTGTACACTAGCTGTATTGGTTTTTGCCATTGTAATTCACCATAAGTAATTGTTGACTGTAACGTCTATGCCAACCAACTATAATTTGTAATGTCTTTTACCATACTTTAACCGTCAAGTTCTGGCAACCACAGCAGCCCAAATGTTAACGTAAATGTCAAGTTTTCTTTTTACAGTGTACTTATATCTGTACATTTCTTTTCAGTTTGCTTCAAGAAGTGGCTTCAGCAGACAGAAGTGCAGGCCAGATTGGGAAAGGTTGGACGCTACACAACGGGAAACATTATGGACATAAACAAGGAAAAACAAAAAACACTTTCTTTGTTGCCTTTTTCTTATCATACATAGTGTTACTGTTTTTGTTACCATTTAAATATTGAATTCTATTTACAGTATTACTTTTATTTTAAATCGAATGCACCTGTTATAGATAATATATGTATGTTGATGTATAGGTTGATTTGCAGGTTGGTTGTTATTTGTATAATTAGTGTATTGTTACTGTGTGTTTTATTATATTAACTAGCTATTTATTGCTATTTATTAAATTAAAATACTGTTATGAACACTATACAATGTCTTTATTTTGGTAGATACCAGAATACATGACACAATGAATCTTGGTAATATATTTATGTTCTCTGGTTTAAATAATCATACCAGTATTTAAACAATGTATGCTGGTCACCTGGCATCCTGGTAAGCTTCCAGCATGGTATATTTACTACTATTATTAAACATAAACTGGTGATAGATGGATGCTGGTGACCAGCATACTATGCTGGTCTATGCTGTTTTTTTTAGCTGGTCAGGGTGGCTGGTTTAGCTGGTGGCTGAAACCAGCCACCAGCTAAACCAGCCATCCTGACCAGTTACTGAAGTTATAACTAAAGTTACAGTATTAATGTGTTTAATATAGTTAATATCATTCATCTAAACCTGCCTAATGACTAGTAATTATATGTATTAAATAAATTAAGTGGAGGGTTAGGGTTGAGTTCCATATTTACCTCTAAGAAGTGGTGGGAGTAATAATAATAATAATAGATTAATTTAGTTAGCGCTGTCAGGTGCTCAAAGACGCTTTAGTGTTTATGTTACTGAAATTGATACATTACAGTACTTGATTAAATGTACTTAATTACTTTACACTACTGATGTCAAGTATCATTTTCAAGTATAATGATTTGGTAAACACACACAATGCTCATAGGCTTTAAATTATGCTACATAACTTTAACTTTTATGATTAAAGTACTAACTGGGCTGAAAGTGATCTGAGTGGGGTCTATCCTCGACTCCCTGTTTATAACAAGTGTCAGGTGACCTCGGTACCTTCAATGCGCACTTCTCTCCCGTCTTCTTGTTGAAACACTGAAGGACTTTTCCATTGATTCCTAATCCCAGAACCTGAGTGGAGATTTTATAATCGTCTGTCACCGCGTGCCGCTTTATGTCCACTTTGGGGTGAACGGGCATGGGGAAGTGAGTGGACTCAGCGTCGGGGAGAGCGGCGAGGGAGTCCTGCTCTGCCTCAGCCTTTGGCGCTTCCACTGGCTTCTCCTCTTCGTTTCCATTTTGGAGCATGTTCCCGACACCGGCTTGTTGTTACCGGCGGTGCTCTGGGGAGGAAAGCGTGAGTAATTCACCAAAGAAATGCGATGACGGCCGAGCGGAGTCCTGGAGCCGCTGGAGCGTCCTGTTGTCCTGCACCGCGGCCAGGGATGGACCCACACAAACTCCACTGTATCTACAAAAAAGCTTTAAAACCAATTTGTTTCAACTACACAACTACTATGTTTCTCTCTCTGAACTGATATACCCGCCTTTTTTTCTTAAAAAAAACTATGCTGTTAACCGGTCTCGCCTGTCTCTTCAGAGAAATCCAGATATTTCAAATAATTTGAATGTCATAGAAATAGAATCGAGTCTTTAGTCTTTGAGCAGTGGGGAAGATAATCTGCTGATCTCAGCTGCCCGTTGATCTGATTCTGGAGTCCTCCAGTTGTGTTCACATGGCTAGTCACTGTCACTGTTTGTTTAAGCACCACCCTCCTAGTTAAGTCATATTTCTCAACCTGCCCAGTGTGAAAGTCTTAAAGGAGCACGACGTGTATTCAGTTCAGAGAGCACTGTGGAGACCAGCAGGAAAAAGCTCATTTTGGCTTATAATGAGAGTAAAGGAGGAGAGATTTAGAACATGGAGGATGTATGGTCCAGGATTCCTTTTAGCCAAGTGACTCAAAGTAAATAATCTTACATAACAATATATATATATATATAATGGCATTGTGAAAAACAGTTTATGACAGAGAGTTTAAATGAGCTCATTTTAATGACAAAGTGCAAAGTGTCTGTTTTAAATCTGAGCGACCATAACTGCAATTATAATTGTGGTGAGCCGTGAAACAATACAGTTTTTTACAGGTGTTTATTCATTAGTCCAGTGCACAGATGAGGGCGACTCCCCGTTTGATCCAGTGTCTCTGACTCTGATCTGTAGGCAGCTCCACTGCCATCACATAGTTGGTGGAATGACCGGTGGTAGACAGAGTCCCTACAAAAGCACACAAAAGCAGTTTCAGACATAAGGACATTTCAATTAAGTGTTTTTCCATCCCAGCACTGAGTTTAGGTGTTTCTGGGCCGTCTGAAGTGCCAGCACAAGGTGTTGGCTACGTGCTGCGGGTGGAAAATACAGAGCAGCACTTTCAGACGCTTCGTGAAACAAGACACTAACTGGAGTCTATTTTGGGTAAGTAATAAAACCACCAAAAAGGAGATACACACAAACACTAGAGTGAGCTGCCCAACACCTAGACACTCTGAAAAACACAGAGAAAGGATTACATTTATGTATTTCCTTTACTAAAAAACACATTTAATATATCAACTTGTTACCCATGCGTTATATAATCTTATAATAATAAATGTAGTCAGTTGGGCTTCCTCAACCTGTTAAGTACGGAAAAGCTGCCTCCTCCCTTTCAGATTTTGATAGGGTAGATAACAGATTATGGGTTACATGATAATAAAAAGGTAATTCCTGGATTTAAAACTCTCGGCCGATCCTCTTTGTAATAAAAAAGTGAGTTATATAGAGAATACATTTAGATCAGGGGAAAAATTAAATTAAGACAATAATTCGACCCCCCACCCCCCATCCCTTATGTTATAGTTCTGTTTTGTTTGTTTGTTTGTGTAAATATACAATAAAATTGAAATGATAATGTGGTCTAGATGATCCTGTGTGTACTGACCGGCCCGTGTGAGGGTCTTATAGATGGGGCAGATGTAGACCCCCGAGGTGGGGGCTTTGCGGTTGGGTTTGGGGATCAGCCTGATCAGAACCATCTCTGTGTAGAGCTCCTTGGGCCTGCATTCAGTAATTTGACCCGCTTCACTATCCGAGCGAGCGCCCTCCACGAAGAGACCGTGGATGTAGCAGCCTGTGTTTGGCTTCTCTGTTATCTCTGACGCCAACTTCTCTATCACCTGATGGGAAGAAGGGATTACAAAAGAGATGAACTAAAGTATATCGGGGACATTGTAGGTGGGCCATTGAGCTTTATTCTCACAAATGTATGACAAGAGAATATTCATGTTTATTTTCTCATAAAAACTATTGTAATCTATTGAGTTTTTTGTCGTATTATGACCCCTTCCAAACTCTGTTATTTTAATTTGTTTTAACCTAGGAGTGCCCTTATATACCATCGTAACAGTCAGCAAAAAATAAATCAATATATATATTTTGAAATATTATGAAATTGACCATACGATGATATTCAAACACAAGTCAGTTTAGAGTGGGAAAGCGTATCCCATTAGACTCAGAATATTGTATTTACCCCGGGGGAAATTGGGTCTTGTTACAGTTGCTCCATTTTAAAATGAAATAAAATAAAAGATACACTTTTTTTTTTATATAAACATAAGAAATTCAAGTAAGAATGTGCAAAAAAAAATATGAAAAAACGTTAAAAAATATATCAAATTAAATAAAACAGTATAAAAATATTTATATAAACAAAAACATTTGAGTAAAAATGTGCACATTGTTTAACAATATATAGTATATTAAGATTTGGTGTGTTTGTATAAATGATATATTATTGCTGAAAACATGTAGTGCTGTAGTTTAGCTAGTAGTGAAAAAATAGTTGCAAAAGCACTGTCAGACAAACATCTCACTGTCTGACCTCAAAGTCAAATCCAATTGTGTCGATGGAGATGCCAGAGCGGCGGGCGTAGTTCTGGAGCGTTCCTGTGAGGAAAGCCTGCGGGAAGAAGAAGCCGCTAATCCAGAAAACAGGTGGAATGCCATCACAGATCCATTTCTGCAGGAAATTGATCCTCAGAATCAGGTCTGACACCCAGGATGCCAGAGGCTTCAGGGACGGGTAGGCCTGGAGGGAGGGAGACACATGGCCCGTCAAAGAACGCCATGTTTATTCTTAGAAAGCAGAGCCGGGAATTATTAGAGCAGGACAGAAATGTCAGCAGAAGTTCATCTGATTCCCTGTTCACTGAAATCACTCCCACATGATCAAGTGTCACCCCCAACTGTACGACACACACAGATGGATGTCGTAATATTATTTCAGTTAAAGGCCCATTGCTGTAATCTGTGCACGTGCAATACCTTCAAAACATCTAATACCTTTATCTTGACTCAGTGTGCGTCCCTTTGAAGTTATCCATATTGTCTACAGAATTGCTTAATTTATAAAAACATCCCATCCATTGAAAGTGTGTCTGAGAAAACTATAGATTTGCTTAGGATTTTGAAATGTGATGTCTTTAAATGTTTCTGATGTTGACTCTCATTGAGCCATTCCTTTGGGGGGGGGGGGGTTTCTGTTGTGTCTTTATTTTTGTAATGTTTTATTGTAAAAAATTGATTATTAGCGAAAACTATTTCATTATGTCTGAATATGTATGAAAATAACTTAATAAAAACGCAAAGAACAAAAAAAAACATCCCATCCAAACCACGTGAGATCAAGAAGGTCAATAACTTTTATTACATGTACAGCACTTTGGCTCGACCAAAAATCGCTTTTAAATGTGCTATATAAATAAAACTTGATTTGATGTGTGTGTGTGTGTGTGTGTGTCTTGCCTTGGCTTTCCACATATCGGGCACCACGTTGATGAACAGGCTGCTGGCCATGAGCTCCAGTTCAGACGACATCACCACCAAACCTTTCAGAGCCTTCACGATGTCTCCGAGACTCTGAGAGATGACCGCCAGCAGATTGTTGTATCTGAAAAAACACAAATAACTAGTTATCAAAGTACAACTGATTTAAACTGGCCATACCTGATTCAGTCCAATCAGTTATTCACGTGTCATCCATTCACAATATTTTCACAATTATTAATTAAATGGAGTTATGCAAAGACAAATACATAAACACTTCTAAGTCTTACGGGGGAGTAAAAGTGTAAAATAAATATCATGGGAATTTACCCTGTAAATAATGTTCAACCTGTTGTTACACCCTGGTATAACTTAAATTACATTCTGCTTATACATCTGACAGATATACTTACACATCTAAGTAGCAAAATTATCATTTCTAACAACCGATGGAGTTGACAACAGTAAGACTAATTTCTTGATAAGTCCTAAGAAGTTGGAAACTGTACACAAAATGTAATAAAAACATGTTCAGACCTTGTTTATAGCACTAGGAAAACAACACCTAAGGAGAGGAGAGGAGAGGAGAGGAGAGGAGAGGAGAGGAGAGGAGAGGAAAAGTGAAAGTCACCACTACTGTGTGATTATGATTACTGGCGTAACTGTGGAACTGTCCAGCTGCTGCTACTGGACTCAAATAGAGTTATGGTTACACATTTAGTTAATCATTTTTACCTTAAAAGTAAAATATCTTTACGTATGGGAAGAAACACGTATCTGTTCTGGGCTCTTGGCTGAGGTTTTTATGAGCTAGATATTGTTTAAATGATTTCAGTGTGGCGCCGATAGCAAGAATTACCCTGCTTGTTGATCTAATAAATATATTAAAAAGAATAGTAAAGGACATGTTCATTTGATCAGATGAGTTATTGCACTATAAAATGGAAACATTGACATTTATTAAATGTATATTGTCAACAGGTTCTACTGTACATAATTGCATTAGGTTAGTTAAAAGCAAAAATATCAAGTTCAAATTAGTTTAACTTAATATTTTTGCTTCTGAATGAACATAATTTAAGTCAACGTTTCTTTTTTTTTAGTGGGGGGGTGGTCCAAGTTGATCCTAGTGGGACTGTTAAACTGTGTAGACCAGGGGGGTCAAACTCAAATACACAGTGGGCCAAAATTAAAAAATGGGTACTAGTCGAGGGCCGGACTGGTTCAATGTTTATTGCAAAACTTATTGAAATGAACTTATTGCACATATTCAACCTGGAACTAACAAAGCTTAAATTATTGCCTATAAAAACAACATTAAACATTAAATAATCAGTTGCATTCATTTCTTATGGCTCTATCTGCAGCTTTTCCAGAGTCATTTCTTATGATTACATTTTTGGCAGACAGATAGAATGAGGAAGATTGTGCAGATCTGAATTTCCCTCTGTGTCGGTGTCAGCACCTGATCATAAGTGTATGTTACGGGTCCCCGATATGAGGACCACAGTAACGGTTATGATACCTGTATTGTGCAGGTGAAAGAGAAGTAATGAGGACACCTTGTGTTCAGTTTCCTTCCAGATTACTTCTCCTGAGGTTGTTTTATTACACAAAATCATATAAACATATCAATTATCTTATGCATTTCAGTTTCGACTTACATTCCTCAATAACCATTCACATACCTTCACTCTGTCTGTATGTTACTCTTTTATGTGATAAACACATATGTCGAATTGAATTTCACATTCAATAAAATCTGTTGTACCTTAAATACATTTGTATACAGTATTAACCTGTATTAAATACTACTCTTCTTTTTACTTTCACTTAAAAGTAGTATTTCATGACCCCTCTAACCTGTCATGTTGACTATTTACCTTCTGCCATTAATGGCAGGTCACTAAAATGCATTACTGAAACATATTTAAGTGTAACAAACAACCTTACTGTTTTACCAACAGTAATTAACTTATAACCCTTACAAAGTACATATTTATTACAAACTCACAATCACTATACATGCATGTAAATACTCAGTGTACGGGAGGCTTCAGATATACTGACAAACTTGTATCCTTACTGCGTCAGACCACGTTGTCCCCAAAATGGCGCCGTACCGGGGAAGCTAGGCTAATACACTCACACCATTTAACGGTTTTACACATGTAAACAGCGGTACAAAGTCTTCTAACTGTTAGCGGGCCGTTACATATTATCTTCGCAAACCTTATGGGGGATTCATTGTGATTTATGCACAGTTTACCAACCTGTATCGTGCAGGTGAAAGAGAAGTAATGAGGACACCTTGTGTTCAGTTTCCTTCCAGATTACTTCTGAGGAAACCCCGGGAACGTCCGTCGCTTTAATCGGTACCCCGGAACCATTGAATCGAACACAAACGTTCCGCCTCACTACTCACTGCATCTATCGACCCCGTTAGTGAAATGAAAATAACAGATGTACAAAATAAAGGCATATTCTAACTCTAAATATAATACTTATTATATTAATGTGGTCACACATCCCAGGGGTGCCACACGCTCCCCGACAACAAAAGTGGCTCCCGACACTTACTTGAAATCACATGTTCCTATTCAAGATAACTTTAACATCTTCATAAAACACAAATATTTACAATGTCCAAACTATCACACCTCAACATGTATGACCCTTAGGACTAACACTGTGTGTGACCTTTCAATAACCTTGTATGGGACATGTAAATGGTGAATGGGGATATGGAATGAGGGGTGTGTAGTGGCATGATGGTGGGCATGTTTGTGAATACCAAAGGTGAGTGTAGGGCATGAGGTATGTATCCATAGCATTTACTGTTGGACCCGACTGGTATGTTGGGAGGCCAAGAGATGAATAGGTGAAGATTTGACCTGGTCGTCTCTCCCGAGTAGACCGTCTCAGTGGGACAGGTGAGTCAGGTTCAGGGTCTTGTACCCGTTCCTCGGGACATGCACGTTGAGGCAACTCTTGCTCATCTTCGTTCTGAGGTACATTAGGGGTTGTCTGCTCATTGTCCTCAGTTTGATGAGAGATTTCCGGTTCATCCTCAAGTTGAAGTTCACACCTGTCTGACGAGTACTCTTCTTCACAAAGACCTTTAGCCAGTTCTCCAGCTTCCCGTTGTGCAATGTCCATGTCAGGTAAAGTTTGGAACTCTAGCCGTCTCTCTACACCAGAGTTCCTGGTAGTCTTTCCCAACATCTCCTCAGAAGAATGTGGTTCCCACACTGATGTCTGTTCTCTTCTTAACATACTTGGTCTTTTTGGAGTAACTGTTATGTTAGGCTTAACCCGATTTGCTGGTATCCTCAACCAGTAACCTCCTGTTGACTCATCCTCTGAATCAGATGTCTCAGCATTTTGGTCTCTCACATCCCTTTGTCTCTTTGGATGGCTTCCTTGTTTCTGTGATGGCTTTGGGGTTGGTTTGACTAACTGTGGTGGAAATTCCACTGGCAAGTCATTGACAAGCAGAAGCAGGTTTCTGTGCAGGGTTCTGGTTTTCCCTTTTGCATCACTTTCTGGATGGACGACATATACTGGGTTATCTGAAACCTGTTCCTTTACCACATATATCCTCTTCTCCCAATAGGAACGTAATTTACCAGGCCCTCCGCGCTCACTTAGGTTCCTGACTAACACTCTATCCCCTTGCTTCAGAACCACTCCCCTCGCCTTCTGATCATAATAGGACTTGCCCTTTGCACTAGACGCCAGACTGTTATCAGTAGCAATCCGATATGCTTCTGTCATCCTTTCGCGCCATTTCTCAGCATATCCTTTGTGTGTCACTGGATCTGTCTCCTCTGACAGGCCGAACAGGAGATCCACAGGGAGACGAGGTTGACGACCATAGAGCAGAAAGTGAGGCGAATAACTGGTTGATTCGTGACGTGTGCAGTTATACGCGTGTATAACCTGTGGAAGATGTTCTTTCCATGTCTCTTTTTCTTTGTCTGTCAGCGTTCGCAGCATTTGTAACAGAGTTCGGTTGAACCGCTCAGCTGGATTACCTTGCGGGTGGTAAGGAGATGTTCGAGAGTGACCTACTCCAGCGAGCTGCCCGAGTGTTCGAAAGAGATCATTCTCGAATTCTCGTCCTTGATCATGGTGTAGTTTGTTGGGGAACCCAAAACGGGGTATAAAGTCATTATAAATCCGCTCTGCTGCTGTCCGTCCGGATTTATTTTTGGTTGCATAGGCCTGTGTGAACCTTGTGAAGTGGTCGACTACCACCAAGATATATTCATAGCCTCCTTTACTTTTCTCAAGGTGCAAATAGTCAATGCAGACCAGTTCAAGGGGTGAGTTAGACTTCATGCTGCTCATTAGGCGCGTTCACACCAAGTACTTTTCCCACAGTAGTTCCTGAGAACTTTAGTTCATGAGAGTTCTTTTAGTTCTGACGAACTAAAGCAGATCGCGTTCACACCAAAATGAGTTCCTGGGGGTGGATTAGGCAAATGAGCCGCTGACGTCACTTCTTCTTCTTCTGCTTAGCTTTTCCTGGCAGGCCGCAAACAACTTCACGGCGAGTACAGTAGGTGGCGGTATGCACCTTAAAGTTGCAATCCGCCAAAAAACCGAGAGAAGAAGAAAAAAAACTTCCGCTTCCGCTGTATGCTTCTGTTTACCTTCCGACCTCAGTCAGACACGCTATGGAGTTGACTGAAGTTGTGGTTTTGGTGCTGAGTTATTTAAGCCAATAACTCAGCCACAAATACAGATCGCGGTTAAGAAGCCTTAACAAAAGGACTGGACGGCGACAAGCACACGCTATGGACATGTTTCGTCGTAGGACAGCTGAGGATGATGACCGTTATCACGCCCAAAGAACAGCAATGGTACGTTCAGTAAATCACATTAATACTATCTAATGTAGGATTTATGGAGTTATGTAGGGCTAATTTGTGTCTTTGTATGTGTTCCAGATATGCGGTGCTTGATGAAGCGAAACGACTGCAACATGGACAATATCAAAATCCAGGTGGCAGCATGTTGCGTATTGCATAACCTGTGTGAGCGTCGTGGTGATGAGTACAGGGAGGAATGGACTGCCTTACCGTCGAACCCAGCTTGATGACAACCATTCATATTTTT